GGTGTGTCTTTGTCCTGCTGCCTTCATCCCTGAGCCACGTTCTACTGGAGGGTTTTAAAAGGGAGTTTCTTCTTCCAGTCGTCACCACATGTTTGGTAATACGAGGTTGTCTGATTGGGGTTTTCTTGTTATTATTGTCGAGTGTTTACCGTACATAAAAGTGCTTTGAGGCAACTTTTCTTGTGATTTGGCGCTAAATAAACAGACTGAAGTGAATTAAAATGAAAGTCAACACGTTGCATATTTCAACACTCTCTTTTAGGTCTAAATAAGGGAGGGGTGCTAGCTGGAGTGATCGGTGCTCGCAAACCCCACTTTGACATCTGGGGCAACACTGTAAACGTGGCGAGCCGCATGGAGTCCACAGGTGTGATGGGCAACATCCAGGTACTGCTTCACTTCAGACGTCTGCTTTATGTTATTTAAATAACCTCCAAAGAGATTGTTGTAGAGAGGAGATACGATAAATAGTGAAAAGTTTCTTTTAAGCAGTTTTAAGATCACAGCAAAAAGTATCTGTTGTGCTATGAGGAAGACTTCCCATCAGCCATCTGAGGCAGAGTAACCAGCTCAGCCTCTGGTTGTATACAAATGTGAGCTAGCACTATGCCGTTCTTCCCAGGAAACATCTTTCTGATTCTTCCACCAGCGACATGACCCTGGGCAACTAAGGGGGCACAATTATGACAGCTTGGCCTTTGGCACGGTCGTGTGTTGAGACTTCTGTTTGGCCTGGATGCTTCAATCTTCCACTGGTGATGAAGTTACCTTGTCCAGAAACCACCTGCAGCAGTGAGGCGTCCTGCTGCCCCACGAGCAGGAGAGTTGATGTAATGGATCAGCAGTATCCAATGATGTGCAGCCAAGAGGTTTCACATTAAGGATCCCTTCTACCGCACTGAGTGCCATGCGGGGGACTTACTCAGGAACAATGTGATCCTCAGGATGACTGGAGTGCAGACTTACCTTATTTCCTCTCACAGGTTCATCAGAAATGTGTGTGGTGGATTAGTATGGAAGGTAATCTTCTGATTTACAAGATGCACCTGAAGAATGGGCTATATGGTGGAGAAAGCCTCCTGCAACTCTCGAGACCTGCCTCAGAAATCTATGATTTGAATATACATTGAATGGTGTTCTCGACAGGAGACACAAGGCCAGGAGGAAAGCCTCTGAGCACAGAGTCAACAGCAAATCAAGGTGTGCAGATCTGATGATTAGGCACTTAAAGATTATCCCTCCGAGGCTCTCACGTTCAGCAGTCAACTCCAGTTGGACAGAATACAGGTTTGTGGATGTGGAGTCTCTCTGTGAGCAGATCAGCCATTGCAGCGAGGACAGGTGTGTTGGCTGGGAGGGCCAGTGCTCTGAGGTAATAAAATGGGGACCGTGAGCCCAGCAGCAGGCTGGTGAAAGATCATAAAGCTGCTTCCCCCTTGTGATGCCGTTATCCAGGTTTTCCTCTGGTATGATATATTTCCACTGGGGAGAACTGGTGAGCTCCTGGATTTCAGCACAGATGGAAGACCTTTTAACAGGTCTCAACTCAGGACCGCAACTAACCCAGCGCAGTAGTGGAGTCAGTCCATGGTGTTTTGCAGCGGTAGAGCAAGCTCAGTTTGCAGAGTAGTCTGAACAGCTCTGAGCTCCAAACGAAGCATGAACAATTTCTTCTGAGGAGCTACTTGGGATCTGGCCATCAGGAAAGTGTCAGTTGTGGCAATCTGTGGTCCTTGTGTAAGCTACAGCCACAGCTGTTGTGGTGCACATGATGGTGTGGAACGTACCAGAATCCAGTCAAACCATTCCCCCTCCTCTTGAGTCAACTTCACCACAGATTTCTCCAGTTTGTGGAGCTCCTGGTTGTACGTCTGTGACCTTCTGGAGTCCTTCCATAATCACAGCTCATTGGCTATTGATCCACGACAGCTTCTTGAGGTGCTTTCAGCTGAGGTGGCATATTTCTGAAAGGGAGGATGTCAAGCTGCCACAGCCTTTCCACGTTTTTGTAAAGCTATGTTGTCTGTGTGAGTAAGGCCGAATGTAACCATCTATCAGCTTGCTGTTGCAGACTACTGTGGGTTGCTGCAGTGCCAAACCCAGCTTGGTGCAGACTGCTTCTGGCCCTCCAGGCCACAGATCACTGGCCAAACACGAATAATAAGGTGAGGGTGATCTGATCCAATCATAGGTCTCATCCTAAGGGGAAGTCGTAGGTGGGGGTGGTTCTTTTCAGTTGTTTCCACTGGGCAGGATTGTTTAGCTAGGGCTAGTTGTTGTGCTGTGAATGAATTCGATATTTAATGCCTCACCTTTGGCTTTGCTTTGGTGAACATATCCATTGATATCCTCCATTCAGCTGTAGGACTTACTGTCGCGATGTTTTATTGGGCCACAGTCTGTCTGGGCAGGGCAAGGAACTTCATGGGAACAGACAATTTTCTCTCCAACTTGTCGTCCAGCATTGCAAAGGTCTGCATCTATGATGAGAGTGATGGTCAGCATAGATGACACTGGATCCAGTATTCATGGTAAGAATATTAGGGTTTTGTTCTTTAGCCTTGGCAAGGCAGGTAGTGCAAGGAGGCGTTGCTCACCACAGGTGCTGCTGGGTTTCTTGAGCATGCAATTGTCAGCATCATGTTTACCGTCACATCTCCAACATTCGTATCTCTGATCCAGTCCACCACAGTGGCCACGTCTAGCCTGGAGAAATCCTTGGATCCTCTCAAGTAATGCTCCTCACAATAAGGATCGAAACACTCTCTCTTCTTCTGTGTTACACGAGCCTTAGAAGATGGATGGGCCACAGCAAGTGGTCTTGTGGTAGTGGCTAATAAACTACCTGTGTTCTTGGTTTGACAGTGCCTACTGACTTTCCTCTCCAGTGATGTAAGTGCAATTTGATCCAGACTGTAGGTAGCCTTGGTTGGGGCAGTATTCCCAAAGTTATGGGGTGGCTGTTGCTCAGGAGGTAGAGCGGGTCATCTACTAATCGGAAGGTTGGTTGGTCCCCCAAGATGGCGCGGCCACGTCCAGACGCCTTCCTGACTGCTCCGCTCCGACTATCCACTTTTCTTGTTTTTTACTTATTTTTTGCTCTGGTTTACATCCCAAAATTGTCTAGTCTTATAGTATGCGATAGCAGATCACTTGTAAACATCGGTGACAAGGTTACACATCTAATCTTGGACACTTTTAAACCCGACCCATCCTGGCCGCCAGAGATTCTACGCGACGCGGAGAACAACAAAGGACGGGCCGCTCATCCGAGGCGTAAAACAACGAAGCGCCGGGGGAAACGCGTTGGCATTAGGAACAGACTGAGACAGCAGGCGCATCGCACACCACTGCCCAGTATCCTACTGGCCAACGTACAATCGCTGGAGAACAAGCTCGATGACCTAAGACCAAGAGTCACCTTCCAACGTGACATGAGGGACCGCAACATTCTGTGCTTCACGGAGACATGGCTGACCCCCACCGTGCCGGGTCGTAACTCCGTCGGATTCATTCTCCGTCGGATTCGCGGACAGAACGGCAGAGTCGAACAAAACCAAAGGTGGAATAGTGTGTTTCATGGTAAACAGAAAGTGGTGTGATGCCAGGAGCATTTCCACTCTTTCCAGCGGCTGCTCGCCATATCTGGAATTCCTGAGCATTAAGTGCCGCCCTTTCTATCTGCCCCGTGAGTTCACCTCAGTCATCGCCACGGTGGTCTACATCCCACCCCAAGCAGACACAGGTATGGTTTTGTCTGAATTACATGATGTGCTGAGTTCGCTTCAAAACAAGGACCCGGCCGCAGCCCTCATTGTAGCAGGAGACTTTAATAAAGCGAACCTCAGACAAGTCATGCCAAACTTTTACCAGCATGTCTCGTGTCCAACGAGGGGGGATCGAATTTTGGATCACTGCTACACGCCATACAAGCAGGGCTACAAAGCTGTCTCACACCCAGCTTTTGGGAAGTCTGACCACAACGCCATCTTCCTCATTCCCCAGTATAAACAAAACATACGGAGGGAAGAAGTAACCACGAGGGAGGTAAAACATTGGTCTGCCCAAACAGAAGCTACGCTACAGGACGCACTCAACGACGTCGACTGGGACATGTTCAAAGCATGCGCAGTCGACATCAACAGTTTACGGAAGTAGTAGTATGCTTCGTCAATATGCTAGCGGAGGAGATTATCCCCACTGCGAGAGTCACCACATTTCCAAACCAGAAACCGTGGATGGACAGATCAATCCGCA